AGGGGTGTATATATCCTTTCTAATTGGTGTTTCTAGTTTCTTGGGATATATTCCTAGAAGTGGGATCACTGGGTCAAATGGGAGTTCCATTTTAGTTTTTTGAGGAAACTCCATACTTAGAACTTTACATTTGTGAAGTAGTAATAATACCTCATTTTATTACTTAACTTTGTACCCAACATTATTGTATGTTCTAAATATTAATTCATTTAAAGTTTATAGCTGCTTATTGATAGTGTAGCCATTTCAGGGTGGATAGCATTGTGGATAATTTGTGTTTTACAGTAAGAACTATAGCATCTAAATGATATATCCACTTTGTGTTATTAATTTTATGATCCATTTAATATGTAAATGAGATGGAAAGCACTTGATTTTTATGTTTATATAATCCTTTTAAGAGTTTAACATTATCAGTCTGATTCGCTCCTTTAGCCTTTGCGTGGAAAGAGCATGGGCTTTAGAGTCCAATATAACCTGGGCAAGATATATAATATTTTTAAACCTCAGTTTTGTTTTCTTTAAAAAACATCAATAAAAATATGCAATCTCATAGGGTTATTGTAAGGAACATAGTAGCTTCTCCATAAACACTTTGTTCAGTCATTAAATGATTGAAATGCCTGGCATACAGGTTCTTAATTACATTTCTTTAGTTTTCCTTTAAGACTTTGGAAGTAGCAGCCTCCCTGTGTTCACCTTCTCAAAGTCATGCTTGTTGACGCTGGCTTACAGCAGTCACTACTAGTTGAAACTTCCTAATCAGGAGGTTTGGGTATCTATGCCAAATTATCCCTCATGGAAGGAAACCCAAACTGCTTCTTTGTACTGTCTTTGTCTTTATTTTAATTCCTTTTCCCTTTACATTTCCCATTAAAATTTTCTATTTGAATGTTACTAGTATAATAAACTTCTTTATCAGGATTCTTAAAATGTAAAAATCCATAAATCTTTTTATAAGTAAACTAGTTTTTCTCACAAAATGAAAGAACCATGTTCCTTTTCAGCGGTTCTCAACCTGTGGGTTGCGACCCCTTAAAATACATCCTGCATATCAGATATTTACATTATGATTCATAACAGTAGCAACATTACAGTTATGAAGTAGCAACAAAAATAATTTTATGGTTGGGGTTCACCACAACATGAGGAACTATATTAAAGGGTCGCGGCATTAGGAAGGTTGAGAACCACTGCCTGAGTTTAAGCTAATAGTATTGCCTGCAAAGTTATAAAAATTTCCATCGTTTTCTTTATGAAAAATCAGTTTTCTTTACACTTTGAATTCCTGTGGTTTGACAGCCTTCATAAATCGGCGACTTCCGTCCCAGCTCTGACACAGAGCTCTTCAGCCATCCTGCTGTCTGTGTACTTGCTACCTGACACTGACAGGAGTCTTGTCCAAACTGGGCCATGCATAAATCAGTGTTTAACCCTGGGCGGGCTTTGCCTCCTCATTGCAGCTCAGCTTTTGAAAGACTGTCATGCTGTTATTCATAGATGACGAAATTGGAATTTGGTGTGTGTCATACATTTATACTCTGGAGGAATTTATAAACTGTTGAGAGTACCATAAACTTTTCTGGTCTTATTCGTTACTCATTAAGCCTTAATTAGTAATCATCAGTTTTACAGATTCCTGTACAATATACACATTATCACTGTTTACATCCCTTCCCTCTAGCCCAAGTATCTATTTGTCATACTTTTTTATTTTAATAATCAACTTACATTTGGGGGAGAAGGAGGTTGGAGGAAGAAAAGTTTTAAATTGCATATAGGAATACACTTTAAATAATCTCATGGATAAATTTAAAATTTTTAAAAATTGTTTGTTTTACCTTAATACTTTTTAGAAAGGTACATATTAAGTATTTGAAAAACTGGAGGAAATCTTTTGGCTATGTAGTACAGAAACTTCAAACCTTCCTAATTTGTTCTTGCTATTATTGTTTGCACAATGAATGAATGGAGGCGAAATAGCTTCATTCTTGAACCATAAGAAGAACATAATACATGTTTAATAGGAACAAACATTTATATATTCTTCCTTTGTCTAAAATGATGAGCAGATTACTCTCCAAGAGAGGGCACAGGCCGGGCTGGGGGACCCCCCCTCCCCCGCCCCCCGAGTGCACAAATTTTGGTGCACTGGGCCTCTAGTGTAGTACAGAAACTTCAAACCTTCCTAATTTGTTCTTGCTATTATTGTTTGCACAATGAATGAATGGAGGCGAAATAGCTTCATTCTTGAACCATAAGAAGAACATAATACATGTTTAATAGGAACAAACATTTATATATTCTTCCTTTGTCTAAAATGATGAGCAGATTACTCTCCAAAGACTGTATTATCAGTTCCCCCGGCCTCTATTGGTATCTCCAATATTTCAGGTGTAGAATTACAGGTGACTAAAACATCATTCCTGAATTTCAGTAAACCTAGAAATAGCATTATTACAGCAAAGTACACTATGTTTAATAGTCTTAATTAAATCAAGTGGTATGTATTGTCTACTTTTCCTTTACCTAAGTTGATGGAAATAAGTTTGTCTCCCTTATTAAGCTTCAAGAAAATCTTTGTGATACTTTTTCTTTCTTTAACCATCTAAACATCAAAAATTATTAAGAAGGTCTCCTAACCTTGGAAAGAGAATGATTTTTTTTTTAAAGCTCTAACTCCTTATATCTTGGACATTTTGAAATTTCAACATGAGGGAAAAATTTCTAAGCATACTAACAGTAATTTATATTTAGATTACAACAAGATTACAAATTACATGTGTACTGACTGACTTATTTTTTCGTTGTTGTTTTGTTAATCCTCACCCGAGGATATTTTTCCATTGATTTTTAGAGAGACTGGAAGGGAGGGAGAGAGAGAGAAACATCAATGTGAGAGAGACACATCGATTGGTTGCCTCCTGGACGTAGCTGACCAGGGCCAGTGATCAAACCTGCAACCCGAGTATGTGCCCTTGACCAGGAACAAAATGCAACACCAGCCAGGGCTGTATTGACTTATTAAGTTAAAGTGGAATAAATGGTTGAGAATATGAAGATTGGAGTTTCTTCTGTTCAAAACTGGATATAATTGGAACACATATAGTACCAGGCACCATGTACTAGTATAACCCTTGACCTGCATTAACTGAAATAATTTTTAGTATTCCCATTTTTCACACAAGGAAAACTACAAATACAGATTCAGAGCCATTAAATAACTTGCCTAAAATCATCAAGCCAATGGGCTGCAGAATTGATAGGCAGGTGTCAGAGTAGCTAATACCATAGTGTGTGATCTGACACTTTACCTGTAAATGGAGATACATGATACCAGCCTACTTGAGGATTTTGTGGGGGGTTAATAAAAGAACGTATATAAAAATTTTCAGCCTATCAGTAAGCTTGTATTCAATATGTGATACACTGTTTTGATAACATGTCTTCCAACCATTAGTTCATTCAATCTTAGTTCTCAAGAATTTAGAGGATTTTATATTGCGAAGTGAAGGTGTATATGAATAGAGGTATCAGCTAATATTTTTCAAGGGGCTAGAAAGAAAGTATTTTACATAGGGAAGAAAAACAAACCTACTTCTTTAACTTTCTATTCTATTGCTAAACAATTTAATTTTATACTGAGACTCTTTTCATCTTCTAAATTTCACTGGAATCTGCTTTCAAGATTAAACTTCATTTTAGCCATCCATCAAATGTTATCCTTTTAAATTGTAGTCCTCTAATTTCCACTATGCAAAAATGAATGAATAAATAAATAAATAAACAAACAAATAAATAAATCTATATATATAAAGGTCTAAGTGACCGGTCAGTTGTTCAACCAGTCACTATGATGCGCACTGAACACCAGGGGGCAGATGTTCAACGTAGGAGCTGCTCCCTGGTGGTCAGTGAGCTCCCATAGCAGGAGCGCTGCTCAGCTGACCCACAGGTGCAGACGCCGGGCTCACAGCTGGCGAGCACAGCTGCAACGGCATAAGTCTCTCCTGTGGACACTCCCCTTGTGCGCCCTTCCCCCATCTGGACCCAGATCAGGACTGACTGGGCATGAGCCCATGGCTGCTTCTCAGTCATGGGCATGCTGGTATCACCCTAGGACGGGTGTGTGGAGACTGCAGCGGAGTGGCAGTGAGCCTACCTAGTGGTGGTGGCGGCAGGCGCAGTGGGGGTTGGGATGAGCAGGAGTGGTGAGGTGCCCGGGCCAGGCTTGGGCTCCTCCCCAGCCGCCTGCTGCTTCATTCACTACTACATCCCTTGGGGGATGTTGGACTGTCAGTTTGGCCCGATCCCCGAAGGCCATGTCGAGGGACCCCACCAATGCATGATTTCATGCACCACGCCTCTGGTAAATAAATAAATAAATGCTAACAGATCATCAAAATAACTTGTCAGAAACTGACTTCATGTCAGATAGTTATTCAGAATACGCTAATGATTATACAGTGCCAAAATGATAAATTTAGTAATGTATGGGCTTTAATTGTGGTTAAATTTAAAACTTTATATTGGGAAAATAATTCTCTTTAAATAAAGGATGAAAGCCCAGCCAGTGTGGCTCAGTGGTTGAGCATCAACCTATGAATGAATAGGTCATGGTTAGATTTCCTGTCAAGGCACATGCCCGAGTTGCAAGCTCAATCCCCAATAGGGGGTGTGCAGGAGGCAGCCGATCAATGATTCTCTCTCATCATTGATATTTTTATCTCTTTCTCCCTCTCCCTTCCTCTCTGAAATCAATAAAAGTATACTAGACCTGGGAATAGGATGAAATACTAGACCTGGGAGTAGGATGTAGGGGTTTTGCTTAATGACAAGCACAATATGAGCATGCAGTGACTGAGCAGCAGCTAGAAACATTAAAGCAAGGTGAGATTGCACTGGCAGATAGATGCAGACTTTGTTTCTAATGGGAAATAATAGTACTATGTTCTAAGCAGACTATACTTGAAATATTCTGAATACTAGGTTATATAGAATAGTGAACGTTAAAATATATAAAGGAAAAGATGATCAAGATGAGGGATTCTGGAAATAATGGTGTTTCACAAATGATTCCAGGAAATGACTCTAAGTCTAAAGAATGGAAGACTAAAAAAAAAGTGTATAATACTTGTTTTAAAATAATTTAAAATATTTTATATGGCAAAGAAGACAGGCTCAACTAGGAGATGTGGGTAGAAGTTCCAGAATGCAGATTTGCACTTTGTAGTTAAGGTTACAGAGCAGTGGAGTTGGCCACTTGAGGAAGCCTGTGCTCCCTTTGTCAGTTAGTTGAAGGCAAAGAGCCAGAACCATCCACCAGCTGTGTGCAATGTGGTGGATGAATTTCGCACCGCAGAGAAGATCAGATCATTGACTACTGGAGTACCTCAAATTTCTAAAACTATGGCTGTATTAACTAGCCTGATAATTGACAAGGGTTCTTAAACATCTGTTACCTTTATGTTTAACTACAGAGAAATAATTTTAGTTCATTATGCAGACATTGTCAGTATGGGTTGTTGGGTATGAATGGGATTTAAATGTGAAAATATTAGTTACTTTGGGCCACTATCTGCTTTTTTATTGTCTAAATTTTTTATTCCTGTCAGTCCTATGTTTCTTAAATTTCACTAAGGGGGTGAAAACATCAGCAAATGATTTTATTACTGTACTAGAGGCCCAGTGCACGGAATTTGTGTGTGGGGGTGGGGGGGGAGGTGTGTGCCTCAGCCCTGCCTGCACCCTCGCCAATCTGGGACATCCCTCTCACAATCCAGGACTGCTGGCACCCAACTGCTCGCTGCCTGCCTGCCTGATCACCCCCTAACCACCCGCCTGCCAGCCTGATCGATGCCTAACTGCTCCCCTGCTGGCCCGATTGCCCCTAACTGCCCTCCCTTGCCGGCCTGGTAGCCCCTAACAGTCCTCAACTACAGGCCTGGTTGCCCCCAACTGCCCTCCCCTGAAGGCCTGGTCACCCCTAACTGTCCTCCCCTACAGGCCTGGTCGCCCCCAACTGCCCTCCCCTGCCAGCCTGGTCGCTCCTAACTGCCCTCCCCTGCCTGCCCTCCCCCGGTCTGGTCACCCCCAACTGCCCTCCCCTGCAGGGCTGGTCCCCCCCAACTGCCCTCCCCTGCAGGCCTGATCGCCCACCACTGCCCTCCCCTGCCAGCCATCTTGTGGTGGCCATCTTGTGACCACATGGGGTGGCCATCTTGTGAGTTGGAGAGACGGTCGATTTGCATATTACCTCTTTATTAGATAGGATTATTAGGTATTGAGATTTTTTTCTTGTCCTATATATTAAAAGGCCAACCACCATAAGCATAATGACCGGAACAACCAGAGACCAGAACCACCATGGCCCCTCACCGGGCTGGCCCCGCCCCCAAGCAAGTGGTTAGCGGCAATCAGGCAGGCAGGCAGAGTGGTTAGGAGTGATCAGGTAGGCAGGCAGAGTGGTTAGGAGCGATCAGGTAGGCAGATGGCCCCTCACAGGGCTGGCCCCACCCCCCAGCAAGCAGTTAGGGGTGATCGGGTAGGCAGGCAAGTGATTAGGGGTGATCAGGTAGGCAGGCCAGCGGTTAGGGGTGGGCAATCAGGTAGGCAGATGGCCCCTTGCAGGGCTGGCCCCTCCCCCCAGCAAAGAAAGAGGGATGCCCAGGCCACCAGCGGCAACTTTGTTACAGGTATGCCGCTGGCCAGCGATCGCCCCGCAGAGGGAGGCCCAGGCCAGCCAAGCCATTGCACCCCACGCCTGTCGCCTGCAGAGTGAGGCCTCCGATGGCAGGGCACTGGGGGGGGGGGGGGCTGGGGCAGCGCTGCACAGATGGCAAGCAATGGCAGCGGTTTGGGGTGGGGCCAGCTGCCTGCAGCCGGGGGAAGGAAAGCCCCGATAGGCCAAGATCTCAGGCCAGATCTAGGGACCCTACCCAAGGGGTCCCAGATTGTGAGAGGGTGCAGGCCGGGCTGTGGGACACCCCCCCCCCGCATGAATTTTTGTGCACCGGGCCTCTAGCCTATACTAAAAATAGAGTAATATGCAAATTGGTCAGGACGCCATCACAGTAACGACCAATCAGCAGGCTGCATGTGCAGCAGGTGCAGGCGGGTGGGGACTTGCTGTGTTGGGGACGGGAGTGGGGCCGCAGCAGGGGCCTCTGTGCGCCTGCAATGGGAGTCTGCAGGCCTCTGCCACAGCCTGGCCTACCTCTTTGGGACAATCCATCGAGGGGCCACGGATGGGTGGGCAGGGCCTACCTCTTTAGGGCGATGGATTGTGGGGCTACCGCACAGGGCACAGGCCAGGATGGGGAACCCACCCCCCATCCCGAGTGCACGAATTTCGTGCACCGGGCCACTAGTAATTATATAAAGCATGTCATGTCTCCCCTCCCCACTCCAACCCTCAGTACTTTTTAATGGCAAAGATCTGTTCTGTGTTTTGTCAATTTGACATGGAGATTTGTTCTAATTTTTTTCTTACATCTGTATTTCAGTTCACTATAGCATACCATAACTATTTGCCTCAGGTGGTCAGTTATATAAAATACATTGGGCTGACTGCTTTAGAATGAAGATTGCTATATCATTACTGGCATTATGATATAGTAATTATTACTTTCAGAGAAAGAATTAGTTAAACCATCTTATATTAACCTACCAATTTAAGATGTAAGAATGTTATAACTTATGAAAGTGAAATGATTAACCACTTGTGATTACTGCTTATATGTCTTAACCATAAAATATTCTAAAACATATTTTTCCAATTAGCATAGTGGAGAAAGCAGTTTCTTTTGCAAAGATAAGGTGTATACATTGACCTGAAAACATCAACAGGCATAGATAGGCATTTTTCATTATTGATCATCATTGCTACACCTTCACTTTTCATATAGTGTTTCTAACTGGTTTCTCTTCATTGCATTCACTAAAATTTTAAGGGTGATCTAAAGGCAAGATTTTTTAAACAGGTTAATCATGTTAATATATTTTTACCTTTCTCTTAAAATATTCAGATTTTATGCAAATAGGATCTATACTTTTTGATTGATTGTTTTCAGTAATACTTCTTTGCTAATTTCCTCCCCCTTTCTCTTCTGTTTGCCCTTTTCCTTTTTAATAAAAAAGAAGAAGACTACCTCCCAAAAGAAACAACATCAATGGTAACAATAGAATTATTTATAATATGAAATGATTAGTGTTTGTGTAGAGAGTTTTTTTTTAATTTCTGAAAAAAGAAAAAGAAAACAGGTAGCAAGAATCTTTCTTCTTGCATTGGCTCTTTCAATTTCTTCAATGGCCTTTCCACTTTCCTTATCTGCCCAAAGTGGTTTGAGGGATATTCTCATAACACACTTCCTGATTTTTAGCAAAATCTGTGAGTTTAGATAGTTTAATTGAAGTGGGCATGTATGTTTTATTTTTAAAGAGTTACTTAATTCAGAATAATGGGCAACATAGATGACTTATTTGCTAAATTCTTTATAAATATATATATATGCCTAAGCAACCATCTGACCGTCTGACCAGTAGCTATGACGCACACTGACCACCAAGGGCAGATGCTCAACACAGGAGCTACCGAGCTGAGGTGACTTGGCAACTGCAGTTCTCGGGTAACACACCCAGAACCAGAGAGGAAGAAGCCTGATTCCTGGGTGCGTCAGCCGAGTACCGCTCTCGCAATCCAGGACCCCTCGGGGGCTGTCGGAGAGCCAGTTTCAGCCTGATCCCTGCAGGCCAGGCCGAGGGACCCCACTGGTGCACGAACCCATGCACCGGGCCTCTAGTTTCATATAATTTTCCTTGTAAACCTATGAAAAAGCAGACAGAGAGAAGTTGAGTAACATGGAAGAAGTGGTGGATCTAAGATCTGACTTAGAGACTGAGGATTTTTTTTTTTAAATATGTTTTTATTGATTTAAGAGGGAAAGGAAGAGGGAAAGATAGAAACATCAATGATAAGAGAGAATCATTGATTGGCTGCCTCCTGCATGCCCCCTACTGGGGATAGAGCCTGCAACCCAGGCATGTTCTCTTGAACGGAATCGAACCCAGAACGCTACAGGCCACAGGCCAACGCTCTATCCACTGAACCAAATCAGTTAGGGCATGATTGAGGAATTAAATGCCAATGCCATGATCAAGTATCTCTCAAGGAAATCTTTGAGTAGAGTGGGATCTTTACAAACAGGAATATTCTCCCTAATCTGACTTCTAAACAAGCTTTTGAAATCTATTTAACCTTTAGTTAAAATTGGCAGTGAGAGTTACACATTTTACAAGTCATATATTCATCCTTTGGACTTCACTGTGGTATTTCAACAAAGAGGATGACCATTAAATGAAGTTTATACTAGCCTCAGGGCAGGAACCATCCATTTATTTAAAATTGATCTTAAGCTAGCTATTAGAAAAAATTAAAACTGTCTGAAGCAAGAAATGTTAATACACTACGCACGATGAAATGGAAAGTA